TGAGTTGTCATTAAACAAGGAATAAAAACGAGGTCATTTTATTTATTTTCAAAGGTTTTTGTCATAGGGCACATGCACTTGCTGGAGAGAGAAAGAGAGAAGGAAAGTGAGAAATCATCCCCCAGGGGGGATAGTCACATCATAATATCTTCTCCTCCATTCTCCTCCTGGGACTTTGAGCATGCACGCTCATGCACCCAGCATGATTTTGAAGCTGCCGGGTCCCCGACTCAAACTGCAATGTGGGAGTCCAGCACCTTAATCACCATGCCACCTGTTAGCACCAGAACAGTTATTTAATGAGATGTTATGAGCTCATTAAGTCAGTTTTTTTTTTCTTTTCTGAGAGGTTTTTGCTATAGGGCACGTGCATTCACCAGAGAGACAGAGAGAGAAAGAGAGACAGAAAGTGAGAAATCACCACCACCCCGCCGGCAGGCGGTTGGCCACACTGTAATCCCTTCTCCTCCATTCCCCTCCCAAGATCTTGGGCATGCACGCACACGTGCTCAGTGTGAGTTTAAGCCACCAGATCCAAGACTCAAACCACAGTCGGCTACATGGGAGTCCAGTGACATAGCCATTACACCAACTGCTGGTCCCAAGTCAGTTTTTTCAAGAAGTTTTACAGCTTTATTTTCTGATTGCAAATACAGTATTACATTCAAGCACTGTAAAACATTCAACACAGAAACTGCAAGCTGCATCCACCAATCAAATTTTCTATTATTACTAAACCTTTAAAAATGTATACATGTGTTATTCTTACTGCATAATACCCATTTAAGTGTGTATATAAATGACAATGTCCACACAATGAAACATCATGCAGTGTTCAAAAATTAAAGCTATAAACGAAGAGCTTGAGTTTGAAATGTTTAAAAAAATGGCATACTCTCATGTAAAAAATCTGAATAGTTGCTTAAACATATGGATGTATAAACTGGAAGAACACTTTCATCTAAAACTTGTATAAGGCTATGTATAAAATGGGGGAAATTAAGAGGAAATGATTAATAAGAAGTTTCTGGTGCCAACAGGAGTGGCGTGGTAGTTGGGGTGGGTGGATTCCCACATGCCTGACTGCGGTTTGAGTCCCAGATCTGGCAGCTTGCTTTTTCACTCACTTCTCGCTCTCTGTCTCTTTCTGGTCAACTTCAAAAGAATAAAATAAAATAATGACAATGAATAAAATTAAATAAAAAATAATTTTTTAAAAAGTGGTTCTATTTCTCCATTTTTATTTAGAACATAAGTTCATTATGAGGATTAAAATTTGGAAGTAAATTCCACTGTTTTTTGTAGGGTGTTTCCTCTTCTTTTCTGCAATGCTTAGCTCAACCTTTCCCACTCCTGCTGGGAACCCGATGACATGGCTTCCCTCCTATTGACTCCTTTTCTCCCCTAAGTGCTCCCAGGGTATCTTCCAGTTGCTACCTATATACCCTTCTCCAGTGAGTGTGGTACCCAGTACTACCTGGCATCCAAATTCATGCCTGTGTCATGTGGTTGACACAGTTCCATCAGTCTCATGCGTGAAGACTGAGTTCTTGCCACAGCGCAAACCCATTTCCTTCATTTCTTGGTGTGTGGGTGGGCTCCTACATTGCCTGTTGCTCTTCCTTCAAAGCAGGGCTCCTTTTGTGAGTAGAAAATAAGCCAAGGGCAGGTAGGACATACAATCTAGGCAGACTCTGGGCCAAATGATAGGGAAGCCCCTCAACTCAAAAGGGAAGAAAGGGATAGAACCAAATGTTGGGGACCAGTGATAAAGCCTCCCTCTCCACACTGGGCAGACATGGGTGCCTATGGTCTGACTGTTCTTTCTGACCTCCAAGGAACCTGTTCTTAAATACACTAGACATCTAAGCATGAGATAGTGTTTTGTAAATAAGCTCCATGCATGAGCTAGAACTTTAGAACTACAGGACAGTGGTACTGCTTCCTGTGCAACACTACTGCTACTGTGGTCAGTGTTTATGCTGTTATTTGGATATTTTATGATTTACATCTACTTCATAAAAATGAGTAGAAAATTAAAGCATGAGTGTCACAATGAGTGTAGATTATATAATAAACAGATGACGTTCATCAGGCATCCTCATTAAGTGGGACTCTCTCTGGCTTCAGCCACACCAATGGGTCACAGTGTTCAACCAACTAGGAAGAACTCAATTAAAGAAACTGCATCAGATGCTGGCACATGTCTGAGACAATGTATGAAAAGAGAGAAACTCCATAACCCCATGTGATCTCAGGCTCCCATGTTCCATCAGATGCAAGAGATGTCTTGATTTCAGCCCCATCTCCACTTACTTTCTTTGGCCCCTCATCTCGGTGCACCTAGATTCAGCCCCTAACATGTTCTACCTACCTCATAACAAAGGGGCTGGAATTGAGAACTTTAAAGTCAGGAACCGAGGAGGTTATGCTCGTCATCTCTCAGGGACAGCGTGGTGTAGAGTCTCCTCCCTCTTCTCCTCTGCTCCATGCTCCTGACTCTTTCTGCAGACCGACATTCTCTACTTCAGCATGCACGCAGAGGAAATGCTGTCCCAGTCCCAGCCCTACCTTTTCTCCCAGTGTAAATGCCCAATACCTACAGACTCAACAGTTGTGTCTGGGCATTCAAATTCTCAGAGTCTGACAAGTGTATATTAGAGCCTGATCCCCTCTAGGGCAGTGCAGGCATCCCAAAGAATTGATCACCTGGGATGCTTACAAAAACACAGTTGCCTTTCTCAGTAGGAAGACTCAGAAGGTCTCTGGTTCCCCAGGAAGGCATTCTAGTGAGTACTCCAAGAGCTGTACCCTGAGAAACACAGCTCCAGGCTCAGGAAGCACATCTGGTCCAACCAACTATAAGCAAGGTCCATGTAGGACATTACAGGCTTTGGGGGCAACAATTGTATATGGGAACATGAGAAGGGAGTAAATGACCACTTCTCCTACCACATGGGCCATGACCTCCACCCTCTGGTCTGTTTGGTGGCTCCTCTTGGGTAATCTCCACAACACTCTGGGCTTACCTCCTTAAGCAATTTCCCCATAAGTTCAAGAGGAGAAATACTATTGACAAGTTCAGTGTTAACAACAAGTTCAGTGTTAACCACCACTATGAAAATGGTTCTAGATAAAGCTAAAGAGACAAAGGTCTTCCAGACCAATATGACTTGTTTGATCACCTTTCAACAATAACTGGCTAATCTTATTTTTTAAAAAGGGAAGGAGGCACAAGAAAGTAAGCCACGAAGCATGCTTCACCATCTACTGAAAAGAGGGCTACTGTGATCAGACTTAACTGAAATGGAGACTGGGGTGGGGTGGGGTGGTAGATAAGGGGCTCTTGGTATATCCTGGGAACTTTAATGGGGCTTCACTGTGACTAATGGCCACATAAGTCTCTCATAGGACCAGGCTATGAATGCTCACTCACATCTTCTTGGTTCCAATTCCATACTCACCAAACAACCTTCCCATTATGGTTTCATTTACCATGTAGGTCTGCCTACAGGGAGAGAATGTGCTGATCATATACATTTTTGCATTATTTGGCACCCTGCTGCGATCTGCCACCATGAATAAACCAGAACTGAGGGAATGAGAACATCCTATTGCAAGTCACATGTCAGCATGGTTTCTTTTAAATCTCCTGAACTTCATTAAATGGGGACCCACCAATGTGAATCTTTGGGTGAAGGAAAGTTGCTAGGTTTGCACAGGCTTCAGCACAATCCTGGATACTCAGAGCATTCAGAGGCCAGGTGGGGCCCACTGGACATGCCAGCCTCCTCCCTCCCCAACCAGCAGAGCTGTCTATCTAGGTTACCATGTGTCCTCATTCTCCTCATAATGGGAATCCACATTCAGCAGTCAATATGGTTAGGGGTTTCATTGCTCACTTTCAGTTTTCCAGATTCTGGCATGAGTCAGGCCCAGTACCAATACTTGCTAACAGAATTAACAAATGAACAACCTTTGGCTGTTTTTGTTTGTTTTGCTGCATCACATGATTTGATGAGTCTGGTATGAATCAATCAGCAAGCCACAAACAGCAAGAATAAGTCCTGTGGAGTCTCCCTCTTCAGCACCTATCAAATTCTATGCTTCTCTCCATATGGGGACTCCAAGCCAAGCCACCATCTCTCACTCAGACTCAAGGTCTTCTCCCCACACCCATTGTGTCCACTCGGCCCTTCTGCACCCCAGACAGGTGATATTTCAAAACCATAATCTGACAATGGTATTACTCCCATGGTTAAAGCACCTCAGTGCCTTACCAATGCTTTTCAAGCCAAGCCCAAATACTCAGCACTTACTTCAAGCCTTTCACAGTGAAGTCCCACTTACCTCTTTCCCACCTTAGTCAGATGCCACTCCACTCTTCCCTCACTTGAGGCATTCTGGATTTTCAGCTCCTTGCTCTGCATGCCTCATCCCTCTCTCATCTGCTTATTTTCCCTGTGACATGCACCATTCGTGGTCCTTCAAAGCTCAACTTTGATGTTCCCACCAATCTCAGGGAGCCCCTAGGTGGCCACTCCCAGATTAAGTTAGTTGTCTCTAGTGGATATTCTCTTCCAAAGACATGAATCACACAACCATGTTTTCCATGTCTTTAATTCCCCAAAGACTATGGGCTCCATGAAAACTTCCTTTCCTACTTGGGTCATGTTCCCAGTATTCAGCACAGTTAGTCAATACTGGCAAATGAGTCAGTGAATCTCTCATGATTTTTCAATCATTGGACAAAAGAGAAAGAGTAACCCAAGGAAGTAGTTGAATGTTGCAGAAAGATGCAGGATGGTGAAAGGGATAATGTGAGGCTGAGGAGGAGAATTTCTAACAAACGATCCACCAGAAGAGCTCATGAATTCTCAGAGGGTACAAACAGTGCTCACATGGCTATGTGGAACGTGTACAGTGGGTGTCAGGGTGAGGAAGGATAGTGTTCCACTTCAAGAATGGATGTGGCACTGTGAGAAGGCAGCTCAACTCACCTGGACTCAGTCACCTACTGTTCAGACTCAATCCCTCTTCCTCTTGCCAGTCGTGTCTTAGAAGGATAGATGATCAAGAAGGGAGAGCTGAGGAAAGAAAACAGGAGACATCAAATTTATTTCATAATTTTTGGGTTCCTTGTACTGGAAATGACCCTAGGACAGCCCCATCTTTATCTCCTATGATGGTGGAGGTCAAGCAAACCCAGAAATTGCAGCTTCTTTCCCTGGATGTAAGGGGCATTGCTCCTTGTAGTTCATGGGCCTCTTTTCCCAAGCATATGTCAGGGCATTCAAATCAATTTCTAGGGTATCTTAGAACCTTCTTTGGAGCTCTGGATTAAAGGTTCTAGTCAAGAACCCAATTTGCCACTATGAGCTTTATAGCACTGGCCATCCCTCAAAAGCGAAGGATACATGCTACAGGTAAAAATTGGAGGGAAAACATGGCTAAGGTAGGTGCCATTATTTAGTGCTAACTATGGATCACATACAGTGTTCAGAACTTTACAGAAGTCCTCACAACACTATATTTTTGGTCAACCAAATCCAGATACTCTTGATACTCTTTTCTTTATTTTGCTATAGGGTGTATGTGGGAGGAGAAAGTGAGAAGGCACACTTAAGGGAATGCCCAAGCAATAATCCCTTTTCCAACATCTTGGGACTTTGGGCACACACATGCACCCAGCAGTGTTTCAAGCTGCCAGGCCCAGGACTCGAACCACACAGTCAGCCATGTGGGTTCCTGCTGCCCTAACCATTATGCCACTAGCTGGCCCTCCAATGGTACTTTAAAAAGAGAAAAATCTACTGACATTTATCACAGAAACCAAGTGGAATAGTAATACATATTAGAACGATGAGTTGAAACTCCAGTTCTGTCATTTTAACAGCCAGCAGAGCAAGACCAAGATTTGACTTTGCTCTGAGTTTAAATAATATAAAAAGACTATACTATACTATATTGAGCCCTTCATGCTATTGTCATCATTTTTTTTTCAGTAATATATCATTACTTAATGGAGGGCAGTATTTTCTGGCCTGTCTATATGCTCCCAGTGAACTAACAATACACAGTGCAAGTCCCACTGCAGTACATCAATCAATTAGAGGCTCCTGGGGAAAGTAGTATCATGATTACAGCTTAGGCTCCTGGAGGAAATAGTTTTATCATCACAGCTCTGGTTTATGTTCCAAGAGTTGGATAAGCCCATTTTTGTGGGTTAAAGAGCTTACTTACTCAAGCTGTATGGCATTTATTAACAATAAATGTCAACAGTGACTATTAATGCTACAGTCACTGGCAAATGCATACTTTTTTCTTTTTTTAATTAATTTTTAAGTTATTATTCATACCTTAAATCTCTATACATCATTTAGATTGTGAAGAGACTTTATTCAGCATGATATACACCTCAGTCCAGCCCAGTTGAGACTATTATGCATGGGGTAGACAAAGACTTAAGCAAAACCCACATGGCACAGGCAATAATCCCCAAAATAGACAAGTGGGATTACATCAGATTAAGGAGTTTCTGCACAGAAATGGACATTGTAATTAGTGTGAATAGACAACCTTCGGAAAGGGAGAGAATTTTTGTTAACTGTGCCTCAGATAAGGGACTGATAACCAGAATACACAAGGAATTCAAGAAGCTTACCCAGAAGAAAATGATTAACCCAATTAAAAGATGAGAAAATGAGCTGAACAAACAACTTTCTAAGGAAGACATACACACAGCCAAAAGCATATGAAAAAATGCTCAACATCCCTCATTGTAAGGGAGACGCAGATCAAAACCACAATGAGATACCACCTAACCCCAATCAGAATGGCAAAGATTAAAAAAACAAATGATAAGTCCTGAAGAGAATGTGGTGAATTCAGGGGGACACTCCTATACTGTTGGTGGGAATGTAAATTGGTCCAGTCACTGTGGAGAATGATATGGAGGTTCCTCAAAGACCTTCAAATAGAACAACCATATGATCCAGCAATTCCACTCCTGGGTATCTACCCCAAGTACAGGAGAAAATTCAGTCAGAAAAGTGCTTGCACAACTATTTTTATTGCATCATTATTCACGATTGCTAAGATATGGAACCAACCCAAATGTCTACAAACAGGTGAATGGATTGAAAAATTATGGCAAATGTATACTTAAACTGAGAGTTGCTAGGAAGTGGGAAAGCAGAATTTGGGCCAGCCAAGTAGTGTAATGGTTAAGAAAGCTGGATCACACTTGGTCTACTGTGGAGTAGCCTGAAAAACACACCTGGTGTGCTCAAAATCCCATAGGAGAATGGAGAAAGGATTGCCGCATGGCTGACTCTGCTGTGAGTGGTGGGGTGATTATCATTTTCTCTCTCTTGTCTATCTCTCTCCTGTGAGTGCACAAGTCCAATTTAAAATCCCCTTGGGTGGCGCTAGGACAATGAGCTCAGCTGGCCAGGCCGCTCAGCGTTGTAAGCCAAACAGCACCCTCTAGCAGTTCGGCATGTGTGCATCTCCCTTCCTACCCTCCAGCAGGACTGACAGCAGCTTTCTCCTGCAGGCGGGCTGCTCTAGCACCGGGTCCCGGGAGGACTACCTTGACTCTAAATTCTACTCCACAGTCTTTTGGATTCCGAGTAAAATGCCTCCCGCTCCAGAGTTTCCAAATTACCCAGAACCCAATCACATATCCACAGTGTACCTCCTCTCCTTTCTCACTAAAAAAATCCACAAATCTACTAAGACCCTAGAATTTTGGACTCCACCTTTCTCTTTACCCACCCCAATACTGTAAGTGGACCCTGTCCCCACCCTGTGAGATGCCTTTGGCACCATCCAGTGGAAACACGGTGCCACCAGCCACATCTTCGCAGTTGGCCAAGACAGCAGTGCTGCGGCTTCTATCGGGGGTCAAACTTGCCCACTGTCACTCAGGACGCCAGATATGGCATGGTTTGAATGAAACCAGCCCACAGACCTCAAAGGCCCCAGGGCATCTGACACACCACCCACTGGCCCCTGAGTGTCAGGCAGGAGCACCGGGTGCCAGCCACTCAGCACAAGACTGCCCCCACTCTCCCTCTGGCCACCCCCGTGCTGCCAACCCGTCTTTCAAGATGGCGCCTGCGCAGTTACTGCATCTCAGGCGCCCCCTCGTGGCCCGCAAAGACAGTGCCGCGTGGGCGGGGCCCTGGGCCTACGTCAGCCACTCAGGACAAGACAGCGCCTCCCTCCCGTC